GTCAAGGCACAGGTACAATACAAACTATATATTATGTTTTTTTTCTTAACATTATGCACTAAATGTAGTAGACATCCATATAGACAAACTAATTGAGTGCTTTTTTTATTGTTAACAAGGGTTCAGAGATGGATATAGAGAATCTGTTGTGTAAGATCTCAGCTTTGGTCAGTCTCCTTTCTTCTTTGGAGAAAAAGGTACGTTTACGATGAAAATAAAACTTCTGCTGTGGAGCTGAAAAAGGTCTAACACTCGAAAACTCATTCATATACTTCTTACATGGGCAATAAAGCTACATAACTAAGAATTAAAATTCTTTAACAAACTACCAGGCAGCTCTTTTTGTTAGTCTTTATCCTTTCCAACGTTTACCTTTAGTCCTAGCGTTCGGTTAAGTGATAATAAAGTGTTAATAATGACAAATTAAAACAAACCCTTTTTTTTCCTAATAGACAGCACAAGTTATACATTGCAACAATGCATTTGATATCATTTTCCCATGAAGGTATTAAAAGCTTTACAAGATGCTGTGACTAATCACAACCTGGCAGTGCAGCCCAACCCACCCCCTCCTGAACCATCACCGACCTGTGTAACCCCCGCAAAGAGCAATGCCCGGCAGCTGCCAGTCTACTCCTTTCAGGTAAACTAGAGTGAGAAAAAGCCTCAAGTTTTACGACCATCAAAAATCTATAGTCTGTTCTTCACTTACATGCCATCTTTTAAAGAGATGACTGAAAGCAAGACAAATGAACTCATCTCTGACCTTAAATGTACTGATGTCTTTTTCAGGTGAAGATGTTGAGGTATGGCAGACAAACTGTTTCTGTGGATGTGGACGCAGGAGTGTTGCTTTTTGACAAGAAGACTGGCTCATTTGGTATAGAAAGAGTCTCACATGACAGAAGTAAGGAAATCTTTGCTTTGTTTTGTTTCCTAGCTATTTACAGTGGCTAAAACGTATCTCTTCAAAGCAGAAATATTGTTTAATAATTATTATATGTATGTATTACTTTATTATTTACTGTTTTTCCCCCTGTTTATCAGTCCTTCAGATTGTCAAGTTTCAGAGCAGTCCAGCCAAGGTACGCATGATGGTTGACAGCCACCACAGCACACCGCGGGAGATGACGTTTGAGAGTGCACGGGTAAGGCGCGATACTGACGTTTTTTATTTACTGGAATCTGCTGTTTCTCTCATCATAACTCACTGTCGTTTCTTTTAGAAATGCGATGCGTTCTGCCAGCTCCTCCAGCTGATGAAAACCAGGCACTCTCAGCGGAGTGAACCTGATGTGATCTCCGTTTTTGTTGGCACCTGGAATATGGGTAAACATTAAAACACAATGGGAGTCTTTTTTCACAGCCAGACAACATTGTGCTGAGTTATTGTTAGGTGATCTTTTTAACTCTTCTGTTTTAATCGTGCAGGTGGCTCCCCTCCTCCTCGAAGTCTACAGTCGTGGGTGACCTGCTGCGGTCTGGGACACACCCCTGATGACTCAACCGCCTTGCTTCCTCATGACATCTATGCCTTAGGGACTCAGGAAAACCCCCAGGGGGAAAGAGAGTGGACAGATCACATCAAAGCAACCCTTCGCAGCTATACTCACATTGATTTCAAACAAGTAGGTGTCCTTTTCTCAATTTTCTCCTCAGCTGAATTCTGTGATTCCTACGGCTAAATATGGAGTAAATGAATCTAAATCCATCACATGTAAATGTAGAGAGATGGGTTGTCTTGATGCATTTAAATCATCCAGATAAGCAAATCCCAAAAAGCTGATTTTGTTCATCTGTTCATCAGTGACTTCTTCAGTCTAGGAGAAGTCACTTGGATGATCAAAGAAATGTCTGTGAAGGTTCTCAGTCATCCAGGTCATCGTAGTCTAAGGAGCTTGCAAAGAAAAGCGTCTGGACTTCTTTAAGTTGCTTGAAGACGTTTCACCTCTCATCCGAGAAGCTTCTTCAGGTTGCTTTGATGTGATCTGTCCACTCTCTTTCCCCCTGGGGGTTTTCCTGAGTCCCTGAAGAAGCTTCTCGGATGAGAGGTGAAACGTCTCCAAGCAACTTAAAGAAGTCCAGATGCTTTTCTTCGCAAGCTTCTTTGATCAAAGAAATGTTTCACCCACTGAAAACGCTACATCCAGATGAATTAAATAAGAGGTTGATTGAATTTATACATTAAAGTTTGTTAATTGTCATAGAAATGTAATAATTTCTTCAACAATCAGAGGCAAGGTCCACTAATAGGATAAATTGAGGAGCTTTATTTCACAGTCAGCTCATGAGTTGTTCTGCACAACAGCATTTTAATTGTCTTTTATTTATTATTTACATACATAACATCACATTATGTTCATATCCTGCAGCTTTGGTTTTATATAATTACATTATTAAAACTAAATTTAAAAAAAATGTTTTTAAAACCGAATTTCAGTTTTCCAAATGCTCCTTACAGAATTCATTCAGTCCACGTTCATACCTCTAAAAGAATCATCCAGTTATTAAAACATTTATCTTTACATAGCCCAAAATCTCCACATATTTAATTTTATATTATTCTGTTTGATTTTTATACAAACGTTGAGTTCATGCGCTATAATACCTTTGATCTGACCAGAAGTATTTCAAAAATGAGGCTTACATTAAAATAAATTATCAACATTAGTCCTATAGTTTACTATACAGGTTAAATGAATATCAATATCAATCTTTTGCCATGTTCTACAATTGGGTCACCTCTGTCATTAAAGTTTAATTTTAAGCTCATGTAAATCAGTGCTTTATTCTTCTTATAGCATATACAATTAAAACAATAACACTTTAGAATTTTAAAGGGCAAATATTAATATATATGCATGACTAAGTGCATGTCTGTGAAGGTTCTCAGTCATCCAGGTCATTGTAGTCTAAGGAGCTTAGAAAGAAAAGCATCTGGACTTCTTTAAGTTGCTTCTTCGGTTCTGAAGTCCAGAGCTTTTCTTTCTAAGCTCCTTAGATGACGAAGTGCATGGAAACACACATTTTGTCGCATACAGTAAAAATGTTTAAACAGGAACATTTTTAACAACAACAGACTCTAAAAATCAAGCATTTCATTCCAGAGTTTGCCTTTTTGGAAACTGTTAAATAATTGTTTTGACTGGTTGGAAACAATAATGCAGTATTACAATGTGGGGTATTGTCCTGTAGGTGGCAGTGCAGTCCCTCTGGAATATAAGGCTGGCCGTGTTTGTAAAGCCTGAGCATGAGAGTCGCATCAGCCATGTGAACACAGCCAGCGTGAAGACTGGCTTGGGGAACACATTGGGTAGGCTGCTCTGCATGATCTCACCATCACAAGTGCACACAAAGCAAATTCAGTAAATATACAGCAAGACCCCCCGAAATCTGTGCATGATTGTTGATAGGACAAGATGTTTCATTAACCTGTAGATTTAAGGTTGACTGCTTCTGTTGTTTCAGGTAACAAGGGAGCTGTTGGGGTCTCCTTCCACTTCAGTGGAACGTCCTTTGGGTTCGTCAATTGCCACCTGACGTCTGGAAGTGACAAAGTCCTGAGGTGCATTCTCCAAATGTGTTTAGAAATTTTGTGTGCTCTGGTCGTTTCTTGCTCTTCAAAAAAAAAAAAAACTTTTTATTTTGTTGTATCTCTTTTTGTTTAATGTCCAGGAGGAACCAGAACTTTGTGGACATCCTCAGGCTGCTGTCTCTGGGTGACAAACAGCTCTTTGCTTTTGACATAAGCCTGCGCTTCACCCATCTCTTCTGGTGTGGAGACCTCAACTACAGGCTTGACCTGGACGTACAGGTCAGACTGACACTGCTCATTTCTTTGTTCTCCTGTTTCTTAACATACTGAGTGACTTAGCACACTTGAAGATTTTCCTAATAGTACATGTGAAATAACAATTATTTGTGACATCCTATACACTGATGTCACTGCTTACTAACTCCAGGACATCCTGAAGCATGTATCCAAAAGGGAATTTGAGGAGCTAATGTGTGCCGACCAGCTGACCCAAGAGAGACACAAAAGGAAAGCCTTTCTCTATTTCAGTGAGTTTCAGTTTTGCCTTGTTTTATATTGAAAGTTCAGTATTATATCTGCACGCATTGTGAAAAATGCTGAAATGCAATTTCCTAAATAGCAACAGTATGATCTCATTATGTGCCACACTGACTTTTCTTATTCTTCTCACTTTCTTTATTTATCATGGTTAAGAGGAAGAGAAGATAGC